GGAGAACATGCAAACTCCACACAGAAATGCCAACTGACCCAGCCAGGACTCGAACCAGCGACCGTCTTGCTGTGGCGCTACAGTGCTAGCCACTGATGCACTGTGTTACCCACTAACAAAAACAAAAGTCAACAAAGCAGAGATCAACATCCCATATATCAGTCCAAATGCATAACTAAATGGAAAACACAAAACATGGAGCCTTGGACATTTCCTACAGTGTATTTAAAATAAAGTAAAGTGTAGGAAAAGTCAGTGAGTAGTCGTGTAAGTGTGACAGCAATGACGTCGCAGAAGCAGGCCAGACTAAAAAAGCACGAAACCTCTCTGAGCTCCGACTGCATATATTTAGATTTCAGGCCACGGGGTTTCCTCCCTCCTTGGTCTTTGTCGTACATCAGTTCTGTCTCTTTTCCCTATTTTTGCTTCATAACCTTCATTCTTTTTGTGCGTGTCTTATGTTAATTTCTGTCTACCCCAGCTAACTCACCTCCCTCCCCCTCCGCAACCCATTTAGCATCTCTAGAGGATCATGGGACAGCACCCATGCAGACGAGGGTCTCCAGAGGGTCTAAATGATGTGTTTAAAGCTCACGCATGTGTGTGCAAACTCTCTCATACACACACTGGAAACTGGCGCACACACTCCCAAAATGTTAACACCCCTTTTACGTCAGTCTGCCTTGGCTGCACATGTTCGGGAGGGTAAGATTCGGGTCTCTCGGGGGACATGTGCGGTTGTGTATCTGTGTGATTTGATAGCCAGAACATCTCTGTTGTGTTAAGCAGCTTTAAAACAGAGATCTGATCAATAATGTAGAAGCTCAGAACAAAAACAAATACATGAGAAACCTGAAGTGAGTCCAGCGTCCTTCCTCGACCTGAACTCACCACTTCATATTAGAGCTGCATGATATTGGAAAAATCAGACAGCGCCATGTTTTGTGTTTATTATGTATTTAGATTGAGATATGAATGGATAAATAGATAGATAAAACCATGGATGGATGGATGGACAGATGAATGAATTAATAGATAGTACGATGGATGGATGGATGGATGGATAGATAGACAGACAGATGAAAGGATGAACAGATAGATATAACCATGAATGGATGGATTGATGGATTATAGATAGATGGACGGATGAATAGATAGAACAATGGATGGATGGATGGATGGATGGATAGATGGATAAACAGATGGACGGATGAATAGATAGATAGACAGATGGACAGATGAATAGATAGATAGACAGATGGACGGATGAATAGACAGATAGACAGATGGACGGATGAATAGATAGATAGACAGATGGACGGATGAATAGGTAGATAGACACATGGATGAATGAATAGATATATAGAACCATGGATGGATGGACGGATGGATGGATGGATGGATGGATGAATAGATAGATAGACACATGGACAAATGAATAGATAGACACATGGATGGATGAATAGATATATAGAACCATGGATGGATGGATGGATGGACAGACGGACGGATGGATAGACAGATGGACGGAGGAATGAAGAATGAATTAATAGATAGTACGATGGATGGATGGATGGATGGATAGATAGACAGACAGATGGAAGGATGAACAGATAGATATAACCATGAATGGATGGATTGATGGATTATAGATAGATGGACGGATGAATAGATAGAACAATGGATGGATGGATGGATGGATGGACAGATGGACGGATGAATAGATAGATAGACAGATGGACAGATGAATAGATAGATAGACAGATGGATGGATGAATAGATAGATAGACAGATGGACAGATGAATAGGTAGATAGACACATGGATGAATGAATAGATATATAGAACCATGGATGGATGGATGGATGGACGGACGGATGGATGGACAGATGGACGGATGAATAGATAGATAGACACATGGACGGATGAATAGATAGACAGATGGACGGATGAATAGATAGATAGACAGATGGACGGATGAATAGATAGACACATGGACAGATAAATAGATATATAGAACAATGGATGGATGGATGGATGGATGGACGGACGGACGGATGGACGGATGAATAGATAGATAGACAGATGGACGGATGAATAGATAGATAGACAGATGGATGGATGAATAGATAGATAGACACATGGACGGATGAATAGATAGACAGACACATGGACGGATGAATAGATAGACACATGGACGGATGAATAGATAGACACATGGACGGATGAATAGATATATAGAACCATGGATGGATGGATGGACGGACGGACGGATGGACAGATGGACGGATGAATAGATAGATAGACAGATGGACGGATGAATAGATAGATAGACAGATAGACGGATGAATAGATAGATAGACAGATGGATGGATTAATAGATAGATAGACAGATGGACGGATGAATAGATAGACAGACACATGGACGGATGAATAGATATATAGAACCATGGATGGATGGATGGATGGTTTGATGGATTATAGACAGACGGCTAGATGAATAGATAGAACCATGGACGGACGGACGGACGGACGGACGGATGGATGGATGGATGGATTGATGGATCATAGGTAGATGGACAGACGGACGGATGAATAGATAAGATAGAATAGCTAGATAGATCCATGGATGGATGGACGGACGGCAGGTAGATGATAGATAGATGGATGGATGGATGGATGGATGGATGGATGGATAGATAAACAGTTAGAAGGATGGTTAGATGGACGGACGGACGAATGGATAGATGAATGGATGGATGGATGGAGGGACCAGATAGAACTACAGACAGACGGATGGACAGATAGATAGAATTTATTAGAATTAAAATAAAACATTAAATAGTGGTCTATGGTTTTCTGGAGAGTCAAACAGTATTCAGGCAGAGAAACAGAATACTCAAATAGATTACATGAGTTTTACTTTAAATGATCACACAAACACAAGCCTTAAAAACACAAGCATTTGATAAACTTTCACTCTATTATGCTTAAACCTTGGGGTATCTCCTCAAATCTCATGTGTTTTGAACTGTAGCTCCCGGTAAGCTGTATTCCAGACTCAACATTGCAGATATCAATGCTGAAACAATACATCCACCCTACTTCATACAACATCAATGAGGGAAAATATCATCACAAACACCAACAAATCCGTCAAAATGACCCAAAAGCTAAACAGCCTCAATTACTCTTCAAGATCATTCTGAGGCTGAAAATAAAAAGTGCACTGGACCCAATGTCACAGTCTGAAACAAGGTGAAACCAAAGTATGCGAATGCACTCATTTTGGCACATTTAGCTCTAAAACCCATTGACCTGCCTACCTAGAAAGCATACTAAGAATCACAGGAAGCATCTTGACATCAAACATCTCTCTTCAGTCTATTTTTAAGCCAGCACTGTGTGCTTTTTTATTCACAAAGAGAAATTCTCAAGAAAAGTTTAAGATTGCAAAGGGAAGTAACAGAAATCGTTCAGCCAAAACACTCAAAACATTCTTTTTTTTTGTGTTTTGGGTCTTTTCTTTTTTTTTTTTATCCACTAGTAAAATCCCAGACCACCCTAATATAAATAAAGCATGCAAGTAACACGTGCTGCATGCGTCCAATTTCGCATACTTAAACTAAATCCTATGCACATTTATGTGAAGTAAAAGTTCATACTGAACTTTTGAGTGGACAACAGAAGAGTATGCAAGATTTAGGACAAACTAGTTCCTCGTAAATGGACCGTTATGTTGCTGAGTTGCATCCCCTGTCAATCATCTCAAATCGTCCACATTTATTTTTAAATGCTTATCTTATTATAATCTGCCAATCACGAGTCTTTTCATGTAGAGAAATCTTGAAATAGTGTGTGCAATAATGGACAGTTGTATACTTCGAATTTCTAATAGAAATTGCAGAGCATCTGGGAACCTTTTGGCATAATCTTTTCAACATACTACGATTTGGGACATACTAATTGTATTTTTGAACACTATTTAGGACAGAACTGTCACGGTTCTGGAGAGGAAGGGGGCAAGGACTCAAGTGCAGGGAAATAATGGGTATTTATTGATAAAAAAAAAAAAGCAAAACAGCAAAGAAACTACCCTGAGGGGGAAAATATTAATAAAACAAATAAACAAACAAACTAGACAGGGCAGGCTGGCGATCTGGAGAACAAGACAGGGAACGACGACATCAGATGACGAACTGGCAAAGAACAGCAGACAAGAGGGGATTATAAACTGTGGTAAATTAACACACAAACAGATGAACATAATTAACTAATAATGGGTTAACAAGGGGGGTGGGACTAGACAATAGACGGGAAAGCGCTTGACACGGAGAGACAACACAAGCCATGCGCTCACATGAAACGAGACTAGGACAGGCAGCCAATGAGAACTCATTAACCACGCGCTCATGACAACACAAGCACGCGGTGCATGTAAACATACACCACGTGCTAAACAACACCAACAGAAGACTGAATGCAAGACACGAGCACACGATGAATGAAAACACTCACCGTGCACTCACACACGCAGCGTGCATGTGCCATCCCAGCGCCGGCCAAAACCGAAACTAACTGGACAGAGAGGCTGGGAATGAAACACCACGCTGCAGACAGACAAAAACACAAACACGAGGACAAGAGCGTGCGTCCGAGGCACGCAGAGCCTGCACGGCCGATTCAAGCAGGAGCGCGCACGCCCTGCACACACCCACGCACACAGAGACAGAAACAGGACAAGACAGAGCTAGTGTCCGGGCTCTGCCACCAAAACAAGAATTTACAAGACCAGAGTGGCAGAACCCTGACAAGAACACAACCATCAAGCATTGTTTAAGCAATGCCCAAGCAAACATTCAGAACATCCTAGCAACCACTATGCAAGACACATTTGATGCAAATCTGTGTTGTTATATGCAGTGTCACTCTCTTATTTTAATTGTAGTTTTCTGAACTGAGCAACCATGCTGCACTAATGATCCGTTTCTTTTTCTTAAGGGTCTGAGGAAACCGGAGGGCTTCTACTGTTGCTTGGATTTGTCCCAGCATCACTACAACTAAACCACCCACCAACCTGGACTTGTACCACTACTACTACTAAACCGCTCCAAAAGAGAGGAAACACCAGATTGGAAGCATAGGACAGGGGAGCGATAAAGAGAATGAGCGTGGGTCGGATTGGTCGCTACAGTATAGTGTCAACTGAGGAGGATGGTCTGCGTTTGACGACCATGCATGGCGGAGGGATGAATGGATACGGCAATGGCAAAATCCACACCCGGAGAAAATCCCGCAACCGCTTCGTCAAGAAGAACGGACAGTGCAATGTGCAGTTCACCAACATGGACGAGAAGTCCCAGCGATACATGGCGGACATATTCACCACTTGCGTGGACATACGTTGGCGCTACATGCTAATCGTTTTCACGCTTGTTTTCGTGATTTCCTGGTTAGCGTTTGGCTTGGCGTTTTGGGTTATCGCGCTTCTTCACGGTGACCTGGACAACCCAGCAGGTGATGACAACTTTACGCCATGCGTGCTACAAGTCAACGGCTTCATCGCAGCGTTCCTGTTCTCAATCGAGACGCAGACAACAATCGGCTACGGTTTCCGCTGTGTAACAGAAGAATGTCCTCTCGCTGTGTTTCTCGTGGTCTTCCAGTCCATCGTGGGCAGCATCATCGACTGCTTCATGATTGGAGCAATCATGGCCAAAATGGCACGTCCCAAGAAGCGGGCACAAACTCTGCTGTTCTCGCATAACGCCGTCATCGCCATGCGTGATGGAAAACTGTGCTTGATGTGGCGGGTCGGCAATTTACGAAAGAGTCACATTGTTGAGGCGCACGTTCGGGCACAGCTCATCAAACCGCGGGTTACGACTGAAGGAGAGTACATCCCGCTCGACCAACTGGACATAAACGTTGGTTTCGATAAAGGACTTGACCGCATCTTCCTCGTCTCTCCAATCACCATCCTGCATCAAATTGACCATGAGAGTCCTCTGTTCGGCATTAGTAAGCAGGATCTGGAAACGGCAGATTTTGAGATCGTGGTCATCTTGGAGGGCATGGTGGAGGCGACAGCCATGACGGCACAGGCTCGAAGCTCCTACTTGGCCAGCGAGATCCTCTGGGGGCATCGCTTTGAGCCGGTGCTGTTTGAGGAAAAGAACCAGTACAAGGTTGATTACTCTCACTTCCACAAGACCTACGAGGTGCCGTCCACCCCTCGCTGCAGTGCCAAGGACATGATGGAAAACAAGTACCTGGTGGTTCCCACCGCTAACTCCTTCTGCTATGAGAACGAGCTGGCGATCCTGAGCCACGAAGAAGAGGACGACAGTCCAGAACGGATAAAGCCAGAGCGAGCAATGAGCCTCAGCCCGGAGAGAACCCCTCGACATGACTTCGACCGGCTGCAGACGCCTCGATGCACAGAACAAAGGTCATACCGCAGGGAGTCGGAGATATGAACCTTTACCGTGACCTTTTTGATACTCAAGTTTCGTTCCTGGAGATACTGGAGCTTCTACAAATGCAGAACAATGCAAAGTGCCATACGGAAAGAGTGAGCGTGTGAATGAGCAAAAAACAAACGAATGAATGTGCAAAGACGTTCAGCGGAGATGCTGATTCAAAGAGAAGGGTCTTTTATCCCGCACGGAAAACTTGAATCTTTTCCTCAAATTGTTTCAGTAGAATAGTTCAGCTGATAAACAACTGTTGATTCCTAAAGGGACACTTCACCCAAAAATGAAAGGTCTATCATCATTTACCCACCCTTGTGTCATTGCAAAATGGTTTTACTTTCTTCTGTTGAACATAAAATAGGAAATAGTTTTAATAAACTTCCACCAAAAATAGTCGGAGTCACATGAGAGTGAGTAAATGATGGCCATTGTTTTTGGTGCACCATTCCTTCAGCGTGTAAATATTTCTGCATAGATACATGGTTTTGTGTGCTGTATTAATTTCTAGCGAGAGAAATGCGAAGACATTGTTAATTTTACAGCGAAAAGAAAGAATTAGCTACTTTATTTTTGCATTCAATCCGAGCACAAATGACAAGCAATGTCGGGACACACTATCCCTGGAGATCTACACACACATTGATCAGTGAAACATGATAAATTCCCCTTTACAACTGCACTACCTAGACAGATTAAATGAACAATGTGAGCACCTGAGTGTAATGTGTGTGTGCGCGTGTGTGTGTGCAGCTGAGCACAATGCCTCATGTGAGACGCACAAGGAGAAGGTTAGAATGCAAACAGTCCTGAAACTCCTGACCACATGCTCATGCATATATGTTATATAGATATATTTACAGCATAATAGAGATATATATTTAGGTAGGCAGATATATAAAGTACTGTAGACATTATCAGTTTGCACCAAGTAATGCAGCGGCAAATCTTCAGACAACTCAATGGGGATAATCGTCTTATTTCTAACTATTTAGATCAGTGGTTCTCAAACTGTGGTACGTGTACCACTAGTGGTACGCGGGCTTTCTTCTAGTGGTACACGGAGGAATGAAATATGTCATGTACATGCTACATACATTTCAAAATGGATTAAAAATTATTTATATAATATGCCATATATGATATATAGTCTAAATTTCTGAGGTAATCTGCCAGGTTTTTTAACTGTGCAGAGTTGTAGCTGCTTTAAAGGGCCTACTACGCTACTGTATTTCAATACTGCTCATTTTGCTGGTACTTGGAGAGACAATTTTTTTCTAAGGTGGTACTTGATGAAAAACGTTTGAGAACCACTGATTTAGACGGTTCATCTTTCGTCCTTGAGGCACTGACAGAAATGCCAGATAGAAAACTCTGTGTGAATCCAGAAACTTCCCTGCAAATGTTGTATTTTATTACATTTACGGTCTTAATATATTTTAACTTCCTGTTATATTTTCATAGATTTTTTTGAAGGGGATTCTAGAACGCCAACATTTACTGCGTTTCTATACATAGATTACACAATCTTACAAGTCTAACCAACTTGAAATGTAACAAACGAGAATGATTGTCTCTCAGAATATTCCCCCATCTATGCACACGATTGGACTAAGTGTACAATCTGCATTTCTTCAACGTTTTTTCTATTATTGTGACAAACACTTCAAAACATCTTGATGCAAATTAATTTAAGGAATGTTTCAGGTTAAATAAAGCTGTCAGTTTTCACTGTAATAATGTTATGGCATCTGGAATTCACGTTAAAACTAACAAAACAAACATCATGTTTACAATAATGCACTTAAGAAATACATGGGGCATGTTTTTGTTCTGAAACCTAGTGAGCTCTCAGTGTACGAAGCATCTAAGAAAATCTCTCTTGACGCAGAAAGTGTTTGTTTGAAGTAGCTTTGACTTGCTTTGTCAAGCTTTGAAACTTCAAGAATCGTTTGATTCGAATCGATGATTCTGCGTTAGGCATGGGCCGGTATAAGTTTCTGATGGTATGATAACCTTCTATAAAAATACCACGGTTATCGGTATCACGGTAGTGTGATTACTGCTCTAAAATAAGTCATTTTTTAAATGTCTGGGTAAAACATTCACGCTAAAACTAACAAAACAAACATGATGTTTACAATAATGCACTTAAGAAATATATGGGACATGTTTTTGTTCTGAAACCTAGTGAGCTCTCAGAGTACGAAGCATCTAAGAAAATCTCTCTCGATGCAGAAAGTGTTTGTTTAAATTAGCTTTGACTTGCTTTGCTTTGATTCTGCACTAGACATGGGCCGGTATAGGTTTCTGACGGTGTGATAGCCTGGTAATAATACCATGGTTTCTCGGTATCCTGGTATTGTGATTACTGCTCTAAAATAAGTTATTTTTTAAATGTCTGGGTAAAAAAAACTACTTTATTCCCCATTAAACACAATATATTTTATTTTAAGAAATATTTATAATATTTTGGAGCAGTAAACATGTCAGGCTAAATCATTTTAAAAAGTCATTGACTTCTGCTCTCTTATTAGTTTCAAAAACAGATTTCTTTACGTCACATTAAAAAAAACATTACCCTTAGTTAATGTATTTTAACAAAACACGGTATTAAATACTTGACTTTCCCAAACCGCGGTAAACCTTGAAACCAGTTATCGTCCCATGCCTATTCGGAAACCACCAAAATCACACGATTTCAGAAAACGAGGATTCTTTTCATCTTAACTGTTTCCAAAGGTTACAAAATGATAATGTTAATATTGGCAAATACACAATTACAAATAATAGTAGCTTTAAAGTAAGCATTTTGACAGGCTCAGGTTAAAGTTTTTAAAAGTTTTGTTTCTATCATGAGTCATGACTGACGAGCTGGCACAAACTTTCCATTTTAAGTAACGTTAAAGGGCCATGAACCATGAAAGGGCCATGATTTTGGGACAGAAGCAGAGTTCTGAAAGTATCACGACAAAATGTGTAGATGTGACATAAAATCTCTTAAATTTTAAATCCTGTCATAATGTGAAGCCAGCGAATGAACGGCACGCACACAGATACCACCTACAGGAGCACAGTGGTATCGCACAAAGACATATTCATCCGCCTAGAAAAGTAGTCCAACCTAAACATCGATTTCCTAACAGATTTTCTAACAGGCATTTTAAGGGAATCGTTAATAATAACTACATTGTGAGCTTAATTTGTTTATTAAACAATTGCAAACAACTTTTCCATACAGATATCAATAAGTGCAAACATGTTGTTTTGCTCGTTGGGATGATCGTCTGTAGTAATCTACAACACATCGCATACGCTTAAACTGAGCTTTAGCTTTATTTATCACGGAATATTCCTTTAAATAAAAGACAAAAATTGTCAGACAGGATTACTGGAAACTGTGGCTCAGACTGATGCTGTGTGTGTCTTTATGCCATCTGTCTATGACTGTATTCTGAACGTATGAACGGCACATTCAAGAAGCAATAATGAACCGATTAAAGCAATACGTGATGTACAGTAAATATCAAACCCGAATGATCAGGACTACACGTTTAGGTTTCACCAGTTTAAAGAGAAGCAATGTATTCCCTGAGGAAGCACAGAGAGCTTGAATAATATCTTTTGTGAGCTGTACTGTACCTTTTGTATAAAAAAAGAAAGTAAAAGAAAAAATGATTCTGTTTGCGTCTGCTTTTTACTATCCATACACCCATATATCTGTCCATCCATCACCTTATCTATCCGTCTATATATCCATCTATCTATATATCCATCCACCACCATCTATCTATATATCCATCCATCTATATATCTATCCATGCATTCATCCATCTATCCAAAGAGCTCTGCAACTCTCACAAGCTCACCCACTGAAGCTAAGCAGGGCTGCGCCCGGTCAGCACCTGGATGGGAGACCACATGGAAAAGCTAGGTTACTGCCGGAAGTGGTGTTAGTGAGGCCAGCAGGGGGCGCCCAACCTGCGGTCTGTGTGGGTCCTAATGCCCCAGTATAGTGACGGGGACTCTATACTGCTCAGTGAGCGCCGTCTTTCAGATGAGACTTTAAACCGAGGTCCTGACTCTCTGTGGTCGTTAAAAATCCCAGGATGTCCTTCGAAAAAGAGTAGGGGTTTAACCCCGGCATCCTGGCCAAAATTTGCCCACTGGCCTCTGTCCATCATGGCCTCCTAACCATCCCCATATCATAATTGGCTTCATCTCTGTGTCTCCTCTCCACCAATCAGCTGGTGTTCGGTCCGGTGCAAAATGGCAAAATTAATTATTACTAACTATATATCTATCCATCCATCCATCCATCCTTCCGTCTGTCTGTCCATCCATCACCATCTATCTAGATATCTATCCGTCCATCCATCCATCGCCACCTGTCTATCTATGTCCATCCATCTATCTATCTATATACCTATCTATCCATCCATCCATCACCATCTATCTATCCATCCATCACCATCTGTCTATCCATCCATCACCATCTGTCTATCTATGCCCATCCAACTATCTATATATCTATCCATCCATCAATCCATCTGTCCGTCCTTCCATCCATCACCATCTGTCTATCCATCCATCCATACATCTATCCATCCATCCATCCATCCATCCGTGCATTCATCTATCTTTAAATCTACCCATCCATCCATGCATCAATCTACTTATCTATCAATCCATTATTATCTGTCCATCCATCTACATATCTGTCCATGCATCTATCAATCCATCTATGCAGTATATCTATCTATCCATCCATCCATCCATCACCATCTATCTATCCATCCATCACCATCTGTCTATCTATGCCCATCCAACTATCTATATATCTATCCATCCATCAATCCATCTGTCCGTCCTTCCATCCATCACCATCTGTCTATCCATCCATCGATACATCTATCCATCCATCCATCCATCACCATCTGTCTATCCATCCATCCGTGCATTCATCTATCTTTAAATTTACCCATCCATCCATGCATCAATCTACTTATCTATCAATCCATTATCATCTGTCCATCCATCTACATATCTGTCCATGCATCTATCAATCCATCTATGCAGTATATCTATCTATCCATCAACATCTGTCTATCTGTCCATCTGTCTGTCTGTCTGTCTGTCTGCCTATCTATCTATCCATCCGTCCGTTCATCCATCGATTTATCAATGCATCTATCCCTCCATCTATTTATCCATTCATCTATCATCACAACATATCTATCCATCTATGTATATATCTATCCACCACGCCATCAATCCATCCATCTATCTATCCATCTATCCATCTATCTATCTATCTATCTATCTATCTATCTATCTATCTATCTTCCCTCACCATCCATATATCCAACCATCCATCCATCATCATCCATCTGTATATCTATGCATCTATCCCTCTATCTTTTTATCCATTCAATTATCATCACAACATATCTATTCATCTATGTATATATCTATCCATCTACCCACCACTCTATCAAAAGGCACAATTATTTAACCCTCATGTGAAATTTGTGTTATTTTTGTGTGAAAGTGATGTTTAAAACGTTTTCACAGTATTTTCTATTATTCCTATTATATTTTTTTCTTTTGAAAGTCTTATTTCTTGTTACAGCTGATTTATCATTATTTTTTCATGTTAAAAACTGCTTTGGTCAACATTATTAGCCCCCTTAAGAAATCACATTTATACATATATTTTCGATTAGCTACAAAACAAACCACTGTACACGTTTAGCATAAGTCAAAGAATGCTAATGCAAATATGCAATGGTACAGTCAACAGACCAGATTGAAATATCAGTCCGCCCACTTTAACTTTATTTATCATCAAGTAGACGTTCTACTAGCATTAATATATTTATTTATATAAACATGGATGCCTGACCTATTTACAAATGTTTTATAACAGATTCAGTGTATTAATCTGGTCCATCTGACATGTAGTCTATTTATAATAGACATTAAAAATATAGTCCATGTAGAATCCTGAATATGTGGGTCTCACAACAGGCCACTGCATAAACAAAAGGCCTGATGTGGGTTAA